GTTTGCACAGTGCTTTACAACATGAGAGCAGACAGTACAGTTACAATACAATTTAATACAGGAGGAATCAGAGATCCTGCTCTTTAAAGCTTACAATCTAATGGGGTGGGTCAATAAAAATAAAATAAAAACTCCAGTTCTTAGGTTGGGTCAGAATAGTCTTCTCTGAAGAGGAGGGTTTTCAGGGATCATCTAATAGCAGACAGAGTAGGAGATAGTTGGATAACTTGGGGTAAAGAGTTCCGTAGGATAGGAGAGGCTTGGGAAAAGTCCTGGAGGCAAGCATGGCAGGAGGTGATGAAGAAGCTAAAGAGCAGGAGGTCTTGGGAGGATCGAAGAGAGCAGTTAGGTCGGTATTTAGAGACCAGGTTAGTGATGTAGCTGGGGGCCAAGTTGTGGATGGCTTTGTAAGTTGTTGTTAGTATTTTGAATCTAATTTGTTGAGTGAGCATAAGCCAGTGGAGGGATTGGCAGAGAAGGGTAGCAGATACTGAATGGTTGGTAAGGTGGATGAGCCTGGCAGCAGTATTTCTGATGGACTGAAGGGGGGATCGCCTATGTAAAGGTCATCCAATGAGGAAGAAGTTGCAGTAGTCAAGATGAGAGATGACCAGGGAAATTAGAAGCTTTGTTGTGTGTCATTTGACAGGACGGGGCATATTTTGGAGATGTTGCAGTGGTTGAGGCGGCAAGATCTGGACAGTGATTGAGCATGAGTCCAAAAGGATAGTTCAAATTCCAGGATTACACCTAGAACCCTGGCATGCAGGGACGGGCAGATAGTTGAAAATGGATATTGACAGAGAAATCAGGGAAGAGACACGTGGGGAGGGAGGAAAAGTTCCACTTTAATGTCAGTGGGAGGAATAGCGCCCCATCAATGGTATCAGTAGGAGGAATAGTGCCCCATTAATGGTATCAGTGGGAGGAATAGTGCCCCATCAATGGTATCAGTAGGGGTAATTATGACCCATCATTGGTATCAGTGGGAGGAATAGTGCCCCATCATTGGTGTCAGTGGGAGGAATAGTGCACCATCATTGGTATCAGTGGGAGGAATAGTGTCCCATCATTGGTATCAGTGGGAGGAATAGTGCTCCATCATTGGTGTCAGTGGGAGGAATAGTGCCCCATCATTGGTACCAGTGGGAGGAATAGTGCTCCATCATTGGTATCAGTGGGAGGAATAGTGCTCCATCATTGGTGTCAGTGGGAGGAATAGTGCCCCATCATTGGTACCAGTGGGAGGAATAGTGCCCCATCAATGGTATCAGTGGGAGGAATAGTGCCCCATCATTGGTGTCAGTGGGAGGAATAGTGCACCATCATTGGTATCAGTGGGAGGAATAGTGTCCCATCATTGGTATCAGTGGGAGGAATAGTGCTCCATCATTGGTGTCAGTGGGAGGAATAGTGCCCCATCATTGGTACCAGTGGGGGGAATAGTGCCCCATCATTGGTATCAGTGGGAGGAATAGTGCCCATCATTGGTATCAGTGGGAGGAATAGTGCTCCATCATTGGTGTCAGTGGGAGGAATAGTGCCCCATCATTGGTATCAGTGGGAGGAATAGTGTCCCCATTGGTATCAGTGGGAGGAATAGTGCTCCATCATTGGTGTCAGTGGGAGGAATAGTGCCCCATCATTGGTACCAGTGGGGGGAATAGTGCCCCATCATTGGTATCAGTGGGAGGAATAGTGCCCCATCATTGGTATCAGTGGGGGGGAATTGTGCCCCATCATTGATATCAGTGGGAGGAATAGTGCCCCATCAATGGTATCAGTAGGGGGAATAGTGCTCCATCATTGGTATCAGTAGGGGGAATTGTGCCCCATCATTGATATCAGTGGGAGGAATAGTGCCCCATCATTGGTATCAGTGAGAGGAATAGTGCCCCATCATTGGTATCAGTGGGAGGAATAGTGCCCCATCATTGGTGTCAGTGGGAGGAATAGTGCCCCATCATTGGTATCAGTGGGAGGAATAGTGCTCCATCATTGGTGTCAGTGGGAGGAATAGTGCCCCATCATTGGTATCAGTGGGAGGAATAGTGCCCCATCATTGGTATCAGTGGGAGGAATAGTGCCCCATCATTGGTATCAGTAGGGGGAATTGTGCCCCATCATTGATATCAGTGGGAGGAATAGTGCCCCATCAATGGTATCAGTAGGGGGAATAATGCCCCATCATTGGTATCAGTGGGAGGAATAGTGCCCCATCATTGGTATCAGTGGGAGGAATAGTGCCCCATCATTGGTATCAGTGGGAGGAATAGTGCCCCATCATTGGTATCAGGGGAAGGAATAGTGCTCCATCATTGGTGTCAGTGAGAGGAATAGTGCCCCATCATTGGTGTCAGTGAGAGGAATAGTGCCCCATCATTGGTATCAGTGGGAGGAATAGTGCCCCATCATTGGTGTCAGTGGGAGGAATAGTGTCCCATCATTGGTGTCAGTGAGAGGAATAGTGCCCCATCATTGGTTTGGGAGGAATAGTGCCCCATCATTGTATCGTGGGAGGAATAGTGCCCCATCATTGGTATCAGGGGAAGGAATAGTGCCCCATCATTGGTATCAGGGGAAGGAATAGTGCCCCATCATTGGTATCAGTTTTCATTATCTCATTAGGCCAATCGACTTTTAACATTTGGATTTTTCATTCGTGTTCATGAAGATTCCTTGGACATACACATCCGGGTCATCTTCTGTTTCCGCTCATGCAGGATAGCGCTTGATAGATTTTTTTCCGTACGACCGTCATACCACCGCATAGAAAATCTTTCTATCGTTCACAATATCGTTATCGGTTAAAACATCCTGCTCATCAACGAAGAGAAAATCGTTCGATCGGCGGTTCTGCAAAATTTTTCTTACGATTTTCTTATCGTGTGTACGGGGCATTAGAGAATGGTTGCTTCAATCAGAGGCTTCTGAGACAGTTGTTGAATTCCAAATAATTGCATTCAAATTGTTTGCAGTAGGACAAATTCTGAAGACTGGAATCAAAGGAATGTTGCTTAAGTAGCCAATCAGGTGGAAGCTTTTATTTTGTAACTCATTCTGGAAGCTGTCAGCTGGAATTGTACTTGCTGCTATAGGAAACGCAGACATGTTTCTCTTCTCAAGTTTTTTATTAATCATCCCACGGCTATTGAAATCATTTGGCTCATTTTTTTGTTGACCTTTTAATCTGTCTCATATCAGACAATTGTAATTCTAGGTTGTGTGCGTTTACCATTCTCTGTGCTGGAGTAGAGCCGGGTCTGGAAAGTCTATCAAGAGATTTTATTAGACGTATCTCTCCTCTTCTCTGTTCATCAAGCAGGTAGCCCACTGTGAGGCATGTGAGTGCTGCAGTAAAAAGGATTTTACTTGGCCACTGGCCATATGCCCTCATATCCTGTACTCACGGTGGGTGGCAATGCTTGGATGCACCTGATCAATGGAAAAATCCCTAGATGATAAAGAAAAGGGAAAGAGCAAGTGCTATTACTATTCTCATAGCTAAATAGATCTCATATGTGGTTTTCTAAATAAACATGTACATACTATAAATATAATATATATATATATATATATATATATATATATATATATATAATATATATATATAAAATTATTTATTTATTTCAGGTACTTATATATCGCCATCAATTTACGCAGCACTTTACATATATATTGTACATTCACATCAGTCCCTAACCCTCAAGGGGTGTACAATCTAAGGTCCCTAACTCACATTCATACATACACATACTAGGGACAATTTAGACAGGAGCCAATTTACCTACCAGCATGTCTTTGGCGTGTGGGGAGGAAACCGGAGTACCCGGAGGAAATCCATGCAGGCACAGGGAGAACATGCAAACTCCAGGCAGGTGGTGCCATGGTTGGGATTTGAACCAATGACCCTAGTACTGTCAGAAGGAAATGCTAACCCTTTAGCCACTGTGCTGTCATATATATAAAAAAAAAAAGTAAAAAAAAAATGAACTGGAATGCATAAAAAAAATGCACTGGAACGCGTCAAAAACGCATCAAAAACGTACCGGAATGCACCAACAAATGTGCTAAAAACTCTCATGCAAAAACGCACCCGGAACGCATCTAGACTGCATTTCTATAGTGTGAACCAGCCCTAAAGGTACAGGGACGCACGTGGCGCCCAGCTATAGCAAAATGACAGCAAAGGCATCCAGTGTGTCCCTGCCAATTAGCCAACTGCACAAAAAAAATGGCAACCGTCCCAACCTATAACTGGCCCAGGGATGGACTGACAATTTGGAAACTCGGGCACTGCCCGAGGGCCCGGGGTCAGTAAGGGGCCCCATGAGATGCCCCTGGTACCTTTTTCATAGGCTTTTTTGAGTTTGGGCAAGGACCAGGGGCCCCATGATCCCTTATTGCCCGGGGGCCCCATGAGTTGTCAGTCCGCCCCTGATATATATATATATATATATATATATATATATATATATACACTATATTGTCAAAAGTATTGGTCGGCCTGCCTTTACACGCACACAAAACTTTAATGGCCTCCCAGTCTTAGTCCGTAGGGTTAAATATTGAGTTGGCCCCGCCCTTTGCAGCTATAACAGCTTCAACTCTTCTGGGAAGGCCGTCCACAAGGTTTAGGAGGTTGTCTATGGGAAGGTTGGACCATTCTTCCAGAAGCACATTTGTCAGGTCAGGCACTGATGTCGGGGGGGGGGGGGGGGGGGGGGGGGGGGGGGGGGGGGGAGGCCTGGCTCACAGTCTCCGCTCTAATTCATCCCAAAGGTGTTCTATGGGGTTGAGGTCAGGACTCTGTGCAGGCCAGTCAAGTTTCACTGGAACACGTACAGAACACGTGTGAACCTAGCCTTATACTGTACCGTCCTGAGGATGATCCACTTCTCCACCACTCCTCTGCAGAAATAGGGCTTTTTTTTTTTTAATATAAAGTCCACCCCCCCCACCCTATGCACGCCATTTCTGTAAACTGCCTGCTGTGCACACATCCAGGGGCAGACTGACTATTTGGAAACTCGGGCACTTCCCGAGGGCCCGGGGTCAGTAGGGGGCCCCATGAGATGCCCCATGGTACCTTTTTCATAGGCTTTTTTGAGTTTGGGCAAGGACACAGGGACCCCATGATCCCCTATTGCCCGGGGGCCCCATGACTTGTCAGTCCGCCCCTGGTTGGAAGGCATGCTTTTGCACTTACCAATACTGCTATACCAGTGGTATGTTTTTGGGGATAATATATTTTTTCAGATATGTGCACCATTCAGAAAAAAGAAAGAAAGAAACATAATGGGACTTTACTGGTACAGTATCGGACAAACTCGTATTTATAAATTTACATATTTATTTGAGATAGATCTTACAATGACATAATTTAAAAACAATACATGGCTAACCAGCCCAAATAGTAATGGCATTGTCTTCTATAGCATTGTATCCTCCAAAGGTCGACGCATTTCGCTTATTAGCTTCTTCAGGAAATGATCAAATGCCTTAGCTAAGAAAATATCCATATATGCACACATTTTCCACTCCCACTGGTTACAGTCCAGCCCACCTAAAGTCAGAAGGAATATATACACACGTAAATCATTAATCATACAATATAGATTCCATAAAAAACCATAAACCTTAAAAAAGAAAAAAGAAGATTTATGTTTTTTTTGAGGAATCTATATTGTATGATTAATGATTTACGTGTGTATATATTCCTTCTGACTTTAGGTGGGCTGGACTGTAACCAGTGGGAGTGGAAAATGTGTGCATATATGGATATTTTCTTAGCTAAGGCATTTGATCTCTTCGCCTTCAATTTTTGGGTCCTGAAGAAGCTATTAAGTGAAACACGTCGACCTTCCTATATCGAAGAAAAATATATTTGAAATATATTTTAAAAAATATTCTTCCCAAATATATTGACATATGTTTGAAATGCTACAATTTTGGCCATATTCAATATATTTAAAAATATATATATATACATATTTATATATACTGTATACTGCATGTTGAAATGCATTTTTATTACAAAATATATGAAAAATATTTTTAAAAATACATTTTAAAATATACTGTATGTCTATAAAAAATACAAATCTACATTTTTGGAATGCATTTACAAATATAAGTAAAAATATATGTTAAAATGACTTTTTTATATGTTAAAAGAACTGAACAATATATTTAAAAAATATATATTTTGAAATATATTTTTCATATATTTTGTAATATGTAAAAAACGAATTTCAACATGCAATATGTATATATATACATATATATATATATATATATATATATACATATATAGATATATATATACATATATATATACATATATAGATATATATATGTATATATATATATATATATATATATATATATATATATATATATATATATCCTAGATTGTAAGCTCCTATCCCTCTTGTATTGAACTGTATTGTTCCTGTATTGTCTCCCGTTATATTGTAAAGCGCTGAGCAAACTGTTGGCGCCATATAAATCCTGTATAATAATAATATAAATCCTGTATAATAATAATAATAATATATAAATCCTGTATAATAATAATATATAAATCCTGTATAATAATAATATATAAATCCTGTATAATAATAATATATATATATTTTTTTTTATTGAAATATATTGAATATGGCCAGAATTGTAGCATTTCAAATATATGTCAATATATCTGGGAAGAATATTTTTAAAATATATTTCAAATATAATTTTCTTCCATGTGGGTTTGGAGGATACAATGCTATAGAAGACAGTGCCATTATTATTTGGACTGGTTAGCCATGTATTGTTTTTAAATGATGTCATTGTAAGATATATTTCAAATAAATATGGACATTTATAAATACGAGTTTGTCCAATACTGTACCAGTAAAGTCCCATTATGTTCCTTTTTTTTTTTTCGTTTTTCTGAATTGTTTATTAGGGATGAGGTACACATGCAGTCTATTACATAATATTCAGATATGTGCACCAATAAATATCTCTTACTTAGATCCTTTACATGCACATCTTGTACACTATTCAGCATCTTAAATGCTTCACACGGTCATTGTAACTTGTCATGATGTTACTACATAATTAACCAACTAGCAAGACGTTCTTTGTAATTATCCCAATAATCACCATCAGTTAAGATGCTGTAAAAAAAAAAACACAGCGGAAAATACCACTAAAGAGGAGCTACCATTTAACTTGAAAAGACGGTAAAGTTATGTTTCAATTGAACTGAAAATATGGGATTTTGGTCAAAAATGAGTTAATTACAACCAGAGTGCTCCTTTTAAAGTTTATTCCATTGGAAAAACAAAGAAATTATTTTTAAGTGACCATTGTGTTCTTCCTTGTGTATTGATGTTGTGTTAATGGTCGCTATGTGTCCCTTATTTCCTAGGGCTTTCCTGAGCTTTGAAGATGCTACAAGTTTGACTTTTTTAAAAAACAGTATTTATTGCAGAGCATGCGAACACAAGTGTATCCATACTGAGTTGGCTGCCCCAGTGCTCTGTGTGTCTATGGCTATTGACTGCACATCATAGTCATGACTGACACATAAGGGGAGATTTACTAAAGCTGGAGCAGTCAGAATCTGATATGCAGTGCCTTGAAAAAGTATTCATGCCCCTTGAAATTTTCCACATTTTGTCATGTTACAACCAAAAACGTAAATGTATTTTATTGGCATTGTATGTGATAGACCAACACAAAGTGGCAGATAATTGTAAAGTGGAAGGAAAATGATAAATGTTTTTCAAAATTTTTTACAAATAAATATCTTAAAAGTGTGGTGTGCATTTGTGTTCAGCCCCCTTTACTCTGATAGCCCTAACTAAAATCTAGTGGAACCAATTGCCTTCAGAAGCCTGTTTGTAATTTAATCTTAATATAAATACAGCTGTTCCGTGAATCCCTCAGAGGTTTGTTAGAGAGCATTAGTGAACAAACAGCATCATGAAGGCCAAGGAATACACCAGGCAGGTCAGGGATAAAGTTGTGGAGAAGTTTAAAGCAGGGTTAGGTTATAAATAAATATCCCAAGCTTTGAAAATCTCATGGAACACTGTTCAATCCATCATCCAAAAATGGAAAGAGTGTGGCACAACTGCAAACCTACCAAGACATGGCCGTGCACCTAAACTGACAGGCCGGGCAAGGAAATCATTAATCAGAGAAGCAGACAAGAGGCCCATGGGAACTCTGGAGGAGCTGCAGAGATCCACAGCTCAGGTGGTAGAATCTGTCCACAGGGCAATTATTAGTCGTGCACTCCTCAAATCTGGCTTTTATGGAATTGTGGCAAGAAGAAAGCCACAAGAAGTCCTGTTTGAAGTTTGCGAGAAGCCATGTGGGCGACACAGCAAACATGTGGAAGAAGGTGCTCTGGTCAGATGAGACTAAAATTAAACTTTTTGGCATAAAAGCAAAACGCTATGTGTGACGGAAAACTAACACTGCACATCACTCTGAACACACCATCCCCACTGTGAAACATGGTGGTGAGAGCATCATTTTCTTCAGCAGGGACAGGGAATTTGGTGAGAGCTGGGTGGGAAGATGGATGGAGCCAAATACAGAGCAATCTTAGAAGAAAAAGACTTGAGACTTGAGACTGGGGTGGAGGTTCACCTTCCAGCAGGACAACAACCCGAAACATCCAGCCAGACCTACAATGGAATGGTTTAGATCAAAGCATATTCATGTGTTAGAATGGCCCAGTCAAAGTCCAGACCTAAATCCAATGGAGAATCTGTGGCCAGACTTAAAAATTGCTGTTCACAGACGCTCTCCATCCAATCTGACAGAGTTTGAGCTATTTTGCAAGGAAGAATGGGCAAAAATGTCCCTCTAGATGTGCAAAGCTGGTAGAGACATCCCCAAAAAGACTTGCAGATGGAATTGCAGCGAAAGGGGGTCCTACAAAGTATTGACTCGGGGGGGGGGGGGGGGGAAGACAAATATCGCCACACTTTTCACAGATTTACTTGTAGAAAATGCTGAAAACCATTTCTCATTTTCCTTCCACTTCACAATTATGCGTCACTTTGTGTTGGTCTATCACATCAAATCCCAATAATAAATTTATGTTTTTGGTTCTAACATGACAAAATGGGGAACATTTCAAGAGGTATGAATACTTTATCAAGGCACTGTAGCTGTGCATGGTAGCCAATCAGCTTCCAACTTCATCTTGTTCAATTTGGCTTTGACAATAAAACCTGGAAACTGAATGGTTTCTATGCAGACCTGCACCAGATTTTACATGGTACCTGCAACACTGAATATATGTAATGGCAAAGGGTGCTGGGGGCGTTTATTGAGGCTGGCTGCTGGGGGATCTATTGCCGCTGAGGGAATCTATTGTAGCTGGTGGGTCAGTTGCTGCAGGAAGGGATGGTGGGGATTAGAGATGGCGCTCATAGCTGGTCAGGGGGCGGGGAGAAGAGATGATGCTCAGAGCTGGTTAGGGTGCGCAGACAAGAGATGGTTTTTGGAGCTGGGTTGGGGGTGCAGACAAGAGATGGCGCTCGGAGCTGGGTAGTGGGCAGGGAGAGAAGAGCTGGTGCTTGGAGCTGGGTAGGGGGCGCAGACAAGAGATGATGCTCAGAGCTGGGGAAGGGGCGCAGACAAGAAATGGTGCTCGGAGCTGGGTCAGGGGCATAGAGAAAAGATGGTGCTTGGAGCTGGGTTGTGGGCGGGGAGAAGAAATGGTGCTCGGAGGTGGATAGGAGGACTAGACTAGAGATGGTGCTCAGAGCTGGGTGGTGGCCGGGGAGAAGAGATGGTGCTTGGAGGTGGGTAGGGGGCGCAGATAAGAGATAATGATCAGAGCTGGGAAGGGGGCGCATACAAGAGATGGTGCTTGGAGCTGGATCAGGGCCATAGAGAAGAGATGGTGCTCAGAGCTGGGAAGTGGGCAGGGAGAAGAGATGGTGCTCGGAAGTGGATAGGGGGAGTAGACTAGAGATGGTGCTCGGAGCTGGGTAGGGGGCAGGGACAAGAGATGGTGCTTGGAGCTGGGTAGGGGGCGCAAGCAAGAGATGGTGCGCAGAGCTGGGTTAGGGGCATAGAGAAGAGATGGTGCTTGGAGCTGGGAAGTGGGCAGGGAGAAGAGATGGTGCTCGGAGGTGGATAGGAGGAGTAGACTAGAGATGGTGCGCGGAGCTGGG